TACCCCTCGAGCTGCCTCCCCTCCAAGCTTAGAGGGAGAGAGTCTGATAAGTCCGTGTGCGGGCCCTTTAAGGAGCTGCCTGGGGCTCCAGCTGCCTCAGCCTCCCTGAACCTCAGTTCCCGCTGGTTTTCCAGCCAGAAGTGATGGGGATTCTCTTCCTGGCACTGGAACCCTGAGTGGGGCCCCTGGTGTGGGACGGGGACCCCTCAGTCCTCAGGAAGGACCTGCCGAGCCGAGGTATCCTCCTGATTTTTATCCCCACACGTGGGTGTGGGCCCAGCCCGTCCCCTCCGCCTCCTACCAGTCTTGGTGTGGCTGCTGCTTTAATTCCGTAGTCGTAGGACTTCATTCAGCTCGATTTCAGGTCGTTCTGAATGATGGTTGTTCTGTAGTTTAGTTGTAACTTTGATGTGGTTGTGGGAGGACGTGGTACCGCGTTTACCTACGCACCATCTTGACCGGAAGTCAGTATTTTAATTCTTTGTATTCCTTTTTAAAAAGAAATGTTGAGCCCTGGCCGGTTTGGCTCAGTGGTTAGAGTGTCAGCCCGCAGACCAGAGAGGCCCAGGTTCGGTTTCCTCGGTTGCAGTTTGTCCCCTGCTCCGGTTGGGGTCGTGTGGGTGGTGACCACTTGATGTGTCTCTCTCACATGGAGATGTTTCTCTCCCTCTCTTCCACCCTCTCTCTCCCACTCTATCTGAAAATAAATGCAAAAATGTCCTCGTGTGAGGATTAAAAAACAAAAAGCAAAAAAAAAAGTTGGCCTGCAATTCTGTATTAGCAAATTTACCCACATTTCAAGTAAAAGAACTACCTGGAATAGAACCAAAATATAAACATTTCATAGTGCTGAATAAAAAGGCCCTCTGGAATACGGTAGACCCAGAAACATGGAAGTAGGGCACAGACTGACATCCCTCAGAAGAGGGGGTGGGGGGTGGGAAGAGATATACCACAACTTATATGCATGTATGCATGACCAATGGACATGGACAACCTAGCCGGGGACGGGGCGGGGGTGGGGTGGGGAGGGGGGTGCCAATGGGGTAAAAAAGGTGAAATATCTGTAACAAAAAAAAAAGGCCCTCTGGAAAAGCGGGGGGACGGGGGGACTGGGCAGTGTGGCTCAGTGGTTGCAGTGTCAGCCCATGCACAAAAAGATATCAGGTTCAATTCCCAGTCAAGGGAATGTATCTGGGTTGCAGGTTTGATCCCTAGGCCCAGTGGGTCGAGGTGCATTCAGGAGGCAACCAATTAATGCCTCTCTCTCACATCAATGTTTCTCTCTCAGGTAAGGATTAATAAGCAAAAAAATTGGCCTTAGCCAGTTTGGCTCAGCGGTTAGAGCATCGGCCTGCGGTCCGGAGACCAGGGTTCGGTTCCCGCTAAGGACATGTACCTCGGTTGCAGTTTGTCCCTGGTCCTGGTTGGGTCGTGTGGGTGGCAGGCACTCGATGTGCCCCTTTCGCGTCGATGTTTCTCTCTCTCTCTCCCTCCCACTCTATCTGAACAAAAAAATGTCCTCGGTGAGGATAATAAAAAAAAAAAAAAAATTGGCTAGGGGGGAAAGTGCACCTAAACTCCCATTAAACTATTTACAAGGTTGTCTCCCTTTACCTAATTAAGCCCAAGGTTTACAGCTTCCTCCACAGGGCTGGAACATAGGCACTAATAGGCCTGTAGAACATACAACAAATGGATGAATAAACAAAGGCATGCTTATTTTTATTTGAAGGACTAATACATCTTCTCCACTGTTCCTAGGACTCCAAACATCAAGAAAAGAGAACTAAAGTTCTTGCACAGAGGTTATACAAATCTTCAGCCTCAGCAGGACAAAATCTTTCGGTCTTGAAGAGGCAGGTCACAGGTTTCACAGAATTCAATATATCATTGTATTCATGGCTAGAGTAAGAATATACAGCAGGTCATAAAAGAAAAAGACACAGGTTGCCCTGGCCAGTTTGGCTCAGCAGTTAGAGTGTCAGTCCGAGGACCAAAGGATCATGGGTTCAATTCTGTTGCAGGTTTGATCCCCGGAGCCGGTTAAGGTGGTGCGGGGGGCAACTAATCAATGTCTCTCTCTCTCAATCGATGTTTCTCTTTCTCCCCCCTCCCCCCACCTTTCCTCCTTTTCTCTTTTCTCTATCTAAAAATCAATGGGAAAATATCCTCTGGTAAGGATTAACCAAAAAAAAAAAAGATACAGGTGGAATCTGGAGGAATTCATCTGCAAGTTTCCTGTGCTCTCTCCTTCCCATGAGAGGTCAGGCAGAGATGACTCCTCCCAGGCAACAAAAATGCACCAATGTGTGTGCAGTGTTTCTGCCCAGGCACGCCCACTGAAGACTCAGCACCCAAGGTTTCATTGCAGGCAGGTCACAGGGGCACCCTCTACCTTGTGTGTACCAGAACTCCAGACCCCAAGAAGGAAAGCAGGTGTTCAACATACCCCATATTGTTTGCGCAAACAGTCTAGGCACAGTGAATCACCCTTATCAGTTACTGGGAACACCCTGAGATACAAGTTCCCAGATGCCAGCCAAGGGCCAACCTTTCAAGCAGGCCTTTCTAAGGATAGCAGTTTCAGACCTGCTATGTTAAGTATTTTTTGAAGAGCAAGTTATTTAACTTCTTGAAATCTCAGAAGCATAAGGATCTGGAATGAAGAGGACATGAACACCGCCCTTCCCGCGTGTAATATATGGGAAGTTTAAAATGCTTTCTCATTACAGAGTGATATCATGACTGAGTTTAAATGCTTAGATAGGACATATAAGAACAACACCTCCACGACCAAATAGTATGCAAAGATTCATGAAGGCACACTTACTGGAACATTCTCAACTCATCCAGATTATGAAATAAAACATTAAAAATGAACTTGCTCTGAAAGTTTATTTAAGCACACTATTAGAGAACAAAAATGAAAGATGAAAACATTCACTAATCCTTTCTAAAATGAATACACTTTTGCCCTGGCCAGTATGGCAGCGGTTAGAGCACTGGCCCTCAGACCACAGGGTTTCAGATTTGATTCCAGTCAAAGGCACGCACTTGGGTTGCAGGTTCAATCCCCAGCCCGGGTCATACAAAAAGCATTCAATCATTTCTCTCTCTCTCCCTCCCTCGCTTACTTCCTTCCACTCTCTCTAAAAGAAATCAATGGAAAAATATCCTCGGGTGAGAATTAATAAAAATAATAATAAGATAAAATGAAGATACTTTCTAGTTCTAATTAAGTTTAGATAACCATGAAATTTAGAGTACAGAGGATGATATGTTTAACACAGAATTGAGTTTCATAAAAAAAAAACAACCTACTTTTTTATTCATGTGTCTAAGCTGTACCCAATGTAAAGTTATAAAGTTACTCAAAATTTGACAGGGTTACTCATGAAAATATTGGGACTTTGGCCTTTGAGTATAGATAAGAACCCAAAAGGTTCAGAATTTAATATTCTGCAATCACTATATTATTTGCTTGCCATATCCCCAATACATGAAAGTGACCTTTTTCTTAAATTATTTATAAAGCTTAGCCCTATAACCAACCTACCACAACACTCCTCTAAGTGTCTTCATTTTCATTGATTATGGCTGAGTAGGAACCTATATACACCATACAAATTACCAGATTAGAGAAGTTTTTGGTTTTGTTCTTTGGCCACATCTATAATCCAATAAAGCAAATTAATATATGCTAATTTAGAAACCAAAACAGATTAGCTTTTGGTTAGGGATTTTTTTTTTAATTAATTAATTTATTTATTTTTGTTACAATTTTTTTTTTGAGAGGGGGAAGAGGGAGAGGGAGAGAAACATCGATTTGTTCCTCCACTTATTTACGCATTCATTAGTTGATTCTTGTATATGCCCTGACTGGGGATTGAACCCGCAACCTTGGTATATGGGGATGACATTCTAACCAACTGAGCTACCCAGCCAGGGCAGCTTTAACTTATTTTAAATGAGTCATATCATGGATAGTAAATATTTCAAGCAATAAACAATATTTTTTTAACTGCCTCAATTTTATCACCTTTTTGTCATTCCTCTGTAATAAAATAAAAGGTGAGATTTTTATTTATAGTAGTTTCCTACTTATCCACAGGGGGACACATTCTGAAACCCCCAACAGATGCCTGAAACCAGTGATATTACTGAAAAACAAGGGTTATTTGAACACAAGCACTGTGATACCTTGACAGCAGATCTGATAACCAAGAGGGCTACTCAGTGAGTAAGGGACAAGGAGCTCATACAGTGTGGATATGCTGGACAGAGGGATGATTCACATCCCAGGCTGGGTGGAGCAGGAAGGCCCAAGATTTCATCACACTAGTCAGAACAGCACACAATTTAAACTTATGAACTGTTTTCTTTATGTAATTTTCCATTTAATCATTTTGAACCACAGTAAACCATGGGTAGCTGAAACCATGGAAAGCGAAACCACAGATAAAGTGGAGACTACCGCATATACTAACTGCAAATCTTTCTACCCATCCCACCAAAACAACTAGAATATAGGCTTCATTAGAGCTGGTCCACAGCTATTTTAATCACCACTGCATATACACCTCTCAAAATAGCGTTTGGCACAAAATAGACAAGTGTAACCCCTGGCTCAACTTACTCTTGTCCCTGGTTTCCTTCTTCTATTTTATTATCTCTAATATATACAGGCATACCCCAGAGATATTGCAGGTTTGATTCCAGACCACCGCAATAAATTGAGTAACACAATAAAGACATTCCTAATCTTTTTGCTCGTGGTGGTCTTGCCACCAATTTGTAAAAAACACAACACCTGTGGAGTGCAATAAAACAAGATGCCTGTGTGTGTCCTTTGTTAAGCCACTTTAAATTAATTTGGGGGGGGGGGAAAGTAAGCATCTTTTAACCATAGACACAACACTGAATATAATCAGAATAAATGTCCAGTTGATAAAGGGGCAAGAAATTTACTCATATACATATCATAAATAAATACTAACATAGAATCAGCCGGAGGAGTGAGCACAAAGCCGGGCCACTCCACACACACCACAACCCTGCACCACACGGAGCACAGCCAGCCCCACTCGCCAATTATGGCCTCCTCTTCAAGAATGAAGCTGGTCACTACATTTCCCCCTTTCACGATATTCTTCTGAAGGTGGACTCTATAGAGAAAAATGGCACTCCTACAAAGAGAGCATGAAATGATGAATATGAGAATTTGTTTAATGTGGTTGTCGAAGGACCTCAGTGGACAAATGCTAAAAACAGAGATTGTGATGGAGGAGCTAATGAATCCCGTTAAACAAGACATGAAGGATGGTAAGCTACACCATGTGATGAACATCCTTCCTCACAAGGGTTTACGGGATTACCCTTAATTACGGTGCCCTCCCTCAGATTTGGGAAGATCCCATGGAAAAGATAGTACAGACTGCCGTGGAGATGATGATCCTATTGATGATTGTGAAATAGGTTCAAAGGATCTTTCTGTGGAGAGGTTATTCATGTGAAGATCCTTGGAATTTTGGCTCTTATTGATCAGGGTGACAGAGATTGGAAATTAATTGCTATCATGGTCAATAATCCTGAAAGTTTCATGATGTTGATAGTGTTAAGAATTACAAACCTCCCTGGCCAGTTTGGCTCAGCGGGTAGAGCGTCGACCAAACCTGGTCAGGGCAAGAACTGGAGTCATTCCAAATTATGGTATACAGATGATCCTTGAACAATTAAGGGGTTAAGGGGTGTGGACCCCCACATAATTAAAAATCTGCATACAACTTTTGACTCCCTACTGTTGACTGGAAGCTGTACCAGTAGCAAAAAGTTAATTAACATGTATTTTGTATGTATATGTATTATATACTGTATTCTTATAATAAAGTAAGCTAGGCAAACAAAATATTTGAAAAATCATAACAGATCATATATTTACATCACTGTATGTATTTATTGAAAAAAAAATCTGCATGTAAGTGGACCTGCACATTTCAAACCCATGTTGTTCAAGAGTTGTTTGTATCCGGGTTGATTTGCTCTATCTGGTTTATATCTGAATCATATTCAGTTTCCCTATAGAAAGCTATTTTTTTAAATATATTTTTATTGATTTTTAGAGAGAGAGGAAGGGAGAGGAAGAGAAAGATAGAAACACTGACGCGAGAGAAACATCGATTAGCTGCCTCCTGCACGTCCCCTACTGGGGATCAAGCCCACAACCTGGGCATGTGCCCTGACCGGGAATCAAATCAGCGTGCCCTCTTGGTGCATGAGTCAATGCTCAAACACTGAGTCACACCGGCTGGACCAGAAAGGTGTATTTTAAATATTAAAAACATGTGGGACATTGTAAAAGGAAATATTCGCACTTACAATTCATGTTACAAAGCCCTGTCCGGTATGGCTCAACGGTTAGGAACACCGGCCCGCAGACCAGAGTCCCGGGTGAGATTCCCACTAAGGGCACGTACCTCCGGTGCAGTTTGTCCCCAGCCCTGGTTGGGGTCGTGTGGGTGGTGGCTACTTGATGTGTTCCTCTCACATTGATGTTTCTCGGTCTCTCTTTCTCCCTTTCAATCTGAAGATGAATGCAAAAACGTCCTCTGGTGAGGATTAAAAAAAAAAAAATTCATGTTATAAAAACCATAGATTTTAGTTTTTAATAACCAACAGTGGTACTTTGAAAGGGTAGTTTATCGGCAAAATTTTATTCACATAAAACTTTGAAAGACTATTCCACACTGTGTAAACTGAAGTAATTTAAAGTTATAATTTTATGTAAATATTAGTTAGCCAAATAAAAATAATTGAGTTTTTTCTAGTAAAATAGTGAAAGAAAAAAATGTTTACATGCCAAATTATTTAGAAAGTCAGTCATCATACAACTACTTGAGGTTTTCTGTATATTTTAAGCCATACTTATTGTTGAAAGTATATTTCTATAATACTAATATAAACTGGCTAAAATTACCACAAGAATCTTTGCCAGTTATAACTGTACTACAAATTTAAAGTTTTATACATATATACATATTGGTATTTTATTGTATTCTTAAATTTCAAAGAAAAAAATATCCAGAAGTTATTTTCCCTGATACTCTTTATAAAGCTAAAATCATTTATTTTATTTATTTATTTTTTACCCTCACCCGAGGACATTTTACCATTTTTTGTTCAGGTAGAGTGGGAGGGAGAGAGAGGAACAGAGAGAGAGAGAGAAACATCGATGCGAAAGGGACACATCGAGTGGCTGCCACCCGCACGACCAACCAGGGCCGGGGACAAACTGCAACCGAGGTACGTGCCCTTAGCGGGAACTGAACCCAGGTCTCTCTGGACCACAGGTCGACGCTCTAACCACTGAGCCAAACCGACCAGGGCTAAAATCATTTATTAAAAAATCCTATATACAGCCCTGGCCGGTTTGCTCAGCGGTTAGAGCATCGGCCCGCAATCCAGAAAAAAAAAAACCCTATATACATTTACTCACACTCAGAAACTGTTAAAAAAAATTGACTACTGAGCTATAAATAAACTTTTAGTCAAGAGTCAAGGTCAATGCAATATTTTTCCAGTGGATTCCCACCACCACTTAGAAAAAATTTCTTTAATATGGTCTATATAAAGATCAACCCAGAGCTGGCCCACCCAACTTCTCTGACCTCATTCATCCCTCCTCTCTCCTTCACTGGCCTACTGAGCTCCTGCCACACTGGCCCTATCCCTACAGCACACCGAGCTTCTTCTGACCCTCCTGTTCTCTAGGATACAAGCCTCTTCCAGACCATCAGACAGAATCCTCCTCGTCCATCATGCAGATCTCACCTCAAATACCACCCCTCAGAGAGACATTTCCCTTCTGGCTCCCTCCCCAAAGTTCTATTCCATTTCCATGTAGCTGCCCCACCATTCTCTATTTGATATCACATTACCCAATTTAATTTCTTCATTATATTTATCACTCTCTAAAACTGTCTTGTTTGTTTATATGTTTAATGTCTGTCTCCTCTATCAGAATGTAAGCTTAATGAGAACAGGTACTAACTTTACCTTGTTTACTGCAGTCTTTCAAGGACCTCAAATGAAGAAATACTATACTATTAAATGTGCAGGCTGATTATGAAGATTTTGATATTATGTAACCATTCTAAAACATTATATTGCTCTCTTAGGCTTCTTCTGGTTCTTTTTTCCCCTACCTATCATTAGAGAATTAGTTAACAACAAGAAATATGAACAAATAGATGTTATACTACATGATCATTTCAGAGACTGACCTAAGGTTTCAGAATTAATGGCATGTCTTTCCAATTGTACACCTATCCTACATTATCAATAAGCATTAGTAATTATAAGTAAATTGTTAATTATGTTTAAATAAAAACTATCAGATAAAATTTAACACTTAAGAGTAGTGTACTTTGCCCTGGCCAGTTTGGCTTAGCGGTCAGAGCATCGGCCTGAGGTTCAGAGAGACTCGGGTTCGGTTCCCGCTGGGGTTGCGTGCCTCAGTTGCGGTTTGTCCCCGGCCCTGGTTGGGTTGTGCGGGTGGCAGCCACTCAATGTGTCCCTTTCACGTCAATGTTTCTCTCTCTCTCTCTCTTTCTCCCTCCCACTCTATCTGAACAAAAAATGGAAACATGTCCTCAGCTGAGGATAAAAAAAAAGATTAATGTACTTTCATGTATATCATGAAATAAAGATGAAAAATATTGAATTTAGAAATAAAACAAACATCACTTTAGGATCTAATGAATAGTTTGGATATCATATTCTATCTAAAATTAAATCTTATTTCCAAATAAAGAAACCATGTTTAAAGAATTAAAGGACAGCATAACAACTCAACTCATAAAACAGGCAATTGCAATAAAAATACAAATATTATCCAAAAAAGAATAAAATGAAAATTCTGGACTTGAAAGCTACAACAATTCTAGAGTTAAAAAAAGTATAACAACCAAAATTTAAAATTCACTAGCACAGCTCAATAGCACACTTGAGATCAGGCATGTTCAGGTGGTATGGCCTAACATGCTGGGCAGCTTCCATAGTGTATATGAGATGACAGAAAAGAGTTGGTGAACTTGAAGATATATCAATAGAAATGACCAATTCTTAAGAATATAAAAGAATAAATAACTGTAAAAAAACTAATAGAGCCTCAGAGACATATGTGATACCATCAAACATACCAAAATACATGCAATGAGAGTCCCAGAAGAAAAGGAGAGGAGAAAAAAGGACAGAAAAACAAATTTTTTTTTTCTTTTTTTTGGTACGTGCCCCTAGCAGGAACCGAACCCGGGACTCTCTGGTCCGCAGGCCAATGCTCCAACCGCCGAGCCAAAAATGCCAGGGCAGAAAAAATATTTTTTTTATCCTCACCCGAGGACATTTTTGCACTTATCTTGGGATAGAGCGGGAGGGAGAGAGGGAGGAAAAGAGAAATAGCAACATTTATGTATGAGAGACACATCGAGTGGTTGCAACCCACACAACCCCAACCAGGGCCGGGACAAACTGCAGCGAGGTACGAGGTATGTGCCCTTAGCAGGAACTGCACCCGGGACTCTCTGGTCAGCAGCCGATGCTCTAACTGCTGAGCCAAACCGGCCGGGACCAGAAAAAATATTTAAAGAAATTATGGCCCAAACTGTTGGAAAATATTAATATATAGATTTCAGCTTAATTATTCTAAAATATAATAAACCCAAAGAGATCCACACCTAGACACATCATAGTAAAACTGTTGAAAATCAAAGGGAAAATCTTGAAAGCACAGAGAAAAACAAATAACCAGAAAAAAGAGACCAGAAAGCAGGAGAGACATATTCAAGGTGCTGAAAGACAAAAATCAGTGACAAAGATTTCTATATCCAGGATGGTGTGGCTCAGTGGCTGAGCGTCGACCCCTGCACCAAGAGGTCGCCAGCTCGATTCCCGGGCAGAGCACATGACCAGGTGGTGGGCCCGATCCCCAGTGCGGGGCGTGCAGGAGGTGGCCAATCCATGTTCTTTCTCACTGACGTCTTTCTTTCTCCCTCATCCTTTCCCTCTCTCTAAACTCAATAAAGAAAAAAAAAAGAAAGAAAGGAAAGAAAAGAATTCTATATCCAGCAAAACTACTACTGAAAAATAAAGGCAAGATATAGACAGATCTCTCCCTCTCCCTTTCTCTCTCTCTAAAATCAATTTTTGAAACATATTTTTAAAAAACATTTTAAGACACATATTGTAATTCCTAGAGCAACCTAAGAAAATAACTCAAAAAATCTAGTTAAAAAACTAACAAAGGAATGCAAAACCCTGGAAAATATCTATTAACTGTAGAAGAGATAACAGAGGATGAACAAAGAAACAAAAAAGAAATGAGATATATGGAAAATAACTAGCAAAATTGTAGACATAAATCTGACTATCAATGATTACATTAAATGTGAACAAATTAAATTCTCCAGTCAAAAAGCATATATGGTCAGACCTTTTTAAGAAAGCATTGCAACTACATGTGGTCCATAAGACACATTTTAAATTAAAAAAACAAATAGGTTGAAAGTAAAAGGATAAAAAAGATGTGCAATGCAAACAGTAAGCATAAGAGAGCTACAATGGTTATACTTATACCAGACAAAATACTGCTATCGATGAATAGGGATCTTTCGTAATGATGAAAAAGTCAATTTATCAGTAAAAGATAAAAAAAATTAGCCCGGCTGGTGTGGCTCAGTGGTTGAGCATTGACCCATGCACCAAGAGGTCGCCAGTTCAATTCCGGTCAGGGCACATGCCCAGGTTGTGGGCCCAATCCCCACTGGGGGGCATGCAGGAGGTGGCCAATCCATGTTCTCTCTCATCGATGTTTCCATCTCTCGCTCCCTCTCCCTTCCTCTCTCTTAAACAATAAAGAAAAAAATTTTTTAAGAATTATATATGTCTACCATACTTATTACCAGTACCCCAAAAACACGAAGCAAAAGTTTACAGAACTGAAAGGAAAAATAGACACGTCAATATATTTTAATATCTCACTCTCAATAATTGTTAGAACAGCTAGACAGAAAATTAGCACAGACACAGAAGGCTTCAAAACTATCAACCAACTTGACCTGATACCTACAGAACATACAGACCAACAATAGCAGAATATATATTCTTTTCTAGCACAGATAGAATACTCCTCAAAATAGATTACATACTAAGCCATGAAAATGTCTCAATAAATTAAAAATAAGAAAAATCATACAAAGCATGTTTTCCTACTACAGGGAAATTAAATTAAAAATCAACAACAATGAAATCTGGAGAATCCCTAAATAACTGAAAAATTAAACAATACATTTCTAAATAACCCATGGGTCAAATAAATAATCACAAAGGAAATTAAAAAATATTTAGAACTAAACAAAAATGTTAAAATGCAGAACTATAAAAATGTATGGGGTTCAGCTAAGTGTTTGGAGAAAAATTTGTAACTTTAAATGACTAGGTAAGAAAAGATGCTCTCAAATCAATAACCTA